TTGTAATAATACAAGGTCTGTTCAAAAAGTATCGGACTTTTATTTTTTCCGCGTAAACCAATGATGCTCGGTAGGCCTCTTTCGATGGAGTTTTGGAGGGGACAATCATGCACAGCCCTGAATTTTTTCCCGCCTGCAGGAAGCGTCAGTCGTTGGCAGTCAGCCTATGAGTGAGGTCATGTAGCGAGCTCTCGTCGGATTCCACTAACAAGTAAGTTGGAAAATGACTGAACGACGTGAGCAGCGATATTACATCAAATTTTGCCAAAAACCTTGGCGATACCCGAGCGTAAACCATTCGCAAGATTCAGTAGGCTTTTGGGGACGATCCTCGAGGCCAAAAAAAGCGCGGCAGGCCCGCAGCAATATTAAGGTCATGTTGACTGTTTTTTCGACTCTCGTGGGGTGATGTATCGTGAGTACGCACCACGAGGCCGAACTATCGCAAAGGAGTACTACCAGGATGTCCTTCGTCGTCTTTTCGATGCTGTGCGACGCAAACAACAGGATCTGTGGTCGATCAAAACTTGGCAGCTCCATCGTGATAACGCATCCGCCCATTCTGCGCATCTGATTCGGGCTTTCGTCGCCAAACACAACACTTCTGTGGTTCGTCACGCTCCGTACTCTCCCCACACGGCTCCGTGTGACTTTTGGCTATTTCCCAAGCTGAAAATGCCGCTAAAAGGAACCCGATTTTAGTCCAGAGAAGACATCGTGCGGAATGCGACGGACCGGCTGATGGCCATTCCAAAAGATGCGTTCCAGCAGTGTTTCCAGCAATGGCAGGAACGCTGGGAGAAGTGTATACACTACCAAGGAGAATTCTTTGAAGGGGATTAGGGTTTTGTACCTCAAAATCAATAAATTTATTTTTGCCGACCAAAGGTCCGATACTTTTTGAACAGACCTCGTACATGTAGTACAGGAAAGAAATCAATAATAATAAACAATAACATTCAATTTATATTATATAATGCTGTATTGAATTTAAATGTGTTATTTCATGTCATAGCCTATTCATGTGCACTGTAATGAGAACTTGCCGTTCACACTTATCGAGGAAAACAGATTTTTAGCATAAGTACTGTAGGTCTCAAAACCATAAAATGAATAGTTATTTTTCGTTGAATAAGATCTCAATACTTTGTATAGCTACCTCAAGCATTAACAGGAGTTTTGCAGTGCTCTGCACAGAGCTAATGATTTTCTTTCTTCAAGTATTGTACACCAAACTCTTGTAATACATTCCGCAATTGCTATTTATTTTCAGGTCTCTTCTCTGTTATTTTCGTACCCACAATATGTCAGGAGCTCGCAACTGAGTTGAGATAAGAACTACTACTTGTCCATCTTAAAGGTTTGAACTGTGTCTCTTGAAGGAATTTTCTGTACCAATTTTCTGTANAATTTGAGAAATGGAACAATTTTCACAACCTTAACGGATTACTCTAGTTAATCTGCAGATTAGCTAGGTAATGTACATATTAACGACTTTCGAGCTTTAGCGGTAACCTATACACATTGAAATTAAAAATTTCAAAGATAGTGGGACTAGAAAGTCCCGTCAGGCAATAAAGGGTTGTACATTTTAATAAACAATAGAAATATAAAGTGAAATAGTATTCAAAACAAAATAAACAATTTTGAAATTTGAACAGTTGTCTGAATAAGACAATAATAATAAGATTGTACAAACAAAATAAGATTGAAGTTTATCCATTTTCCAAACAATAACAGAATACGACGATGCTAGGTTCGCAGAATATGATAAAATTGTCAGTTATTATCATACTTTTTAAAAATACCAAGTTTTAAACATTTAATAATGAATTATTATTATATATAATCCGGTATAAAATAATATATAATACGTATGAACAATAGCTTCTAGGTGAATAACGTATGGTGGGCTGAACAGTCTAAAATTTCCGACAAAATCCTCCACTCCATCAACAAAGCGGTTGCGGGGATAAGGGTTTTACGGTGAGCACCACAACTAAGAATGGGATTATGAAGAAGATTTGATTCATTCCACAATTTTTTATTTAGTTTTTACTTTTTCCGAAAAGAAGCAATTCGCTTCTTCGCGGAACTGCAAACATTAGTGTACTTCTCACTTATTAAAAGATTAAGGCTCGGTTTTACGAAGTCTGGTTTGCATTAAAAATGAGAATTAAGTGCAACATTTTTAAATGTCGACGCATAATTATATTTTCGATTGAACACTATCTACTACATTTAATTAAATCTAGTCATGAAGATATACGAAGAGGTAATTACAAAATTACTTTTTCGATAAATGGATAAGAATAGTTACATATTTTTCATGATGTTTACTAAATTGTTATTAAAATGTTATAGCTAAAATCAAAGATCACGGTTAATTCCAGTGTTTCTTGTAATCTTCCAATTGTGAACTTGCATGATATAATCTGACAGAAATCGAAAAATAAGAGCGGGCAACGGAATTGGCAAAGCTCAGCAAAATGGACCTCACACAAATTTGGATATTGGCCACAATCAGGAATAACTGATTATTAGTCGTCTCCTGAAATGACTAATTACGGACGACCACCAGCAATCCCCTCCTCCTGTCCTTTTCCTGAAATTATTTGATATGAGTCTCAGCCAGATGTAACTGAATAGTGGCCACCCAAGAAATTAGTTTATATGAACTGCCGCGGAAACTCCAGCACGAGTCTTCAGTGATTGCTCATATCCTGGATATTCCCGAATACGAGTCTTCAGCTCTTAATTCTTCAAAAGTAATACAGTCAAACTCGTACCTCTCATTAGAAACTTTTGAATTCCTATCAGATATGACTCATCAGTAGCTTAATTAATGGTAACTTTTATCAAAAAACTATTATTTTAGTAATAATTTGTTAGTAGTATGAAAGAAATACAGTATACCGAAACACACAAAACAACATGAACAGCTATATTTCATAGAGGAGAAGGTGGTATTATGGAACCCCAATTACATTTTAGTGAATTGTAAACAAGGTATCATAACTACACCCACATTTATGGAATTATGGTATTTATGGTATTATGGAACCCCAATTACATTTTAGTGAATTGTAAACAAGGTATCATAACTACACCCACATTTTCGGTGCGAAAAGTACTGTTAACTAGTAAACTAAATGTTCCTAATTGGATTTTTCGCTAGTGTAATTATAAGTATGGTTTTTGAAGGCTTTTGTACAAAAAGTCCGAAAGTAGGCTTAGAGAAATTCGGGTGGTAATATGGAACCTTACTGTATATTTCCAAAAAAATGCTTTAATGTAGCCAAAAACAAATAGGAAAGGACAAAAAGTGTTAAATAATTACCAAATTATTTACTCCAATGTATTTTATCGCAAAAATGCTTTTATAATAGAAAAATATGACCTCCATCAACAATATATATTCCAGCAGCCCTTTTTCGATATTCTCGGGAAGAATTGGCTTTCTACCTAGTGTCTTTTTCCCAAATTGCTCCGGAAAATGTCTGCTTGCAAATAGAAAGTTCGGAGGAGTTGCGTTCCATATTACTGTAAAAGCACCAATGGGGTCCATATTTCATGCATCGCCATCTTGAATTAACTTATGTCTGTCAAGACCAAAATTTAAAAAACGTGAACATCATACAGATTAATATGTACCCCTAAGTCTCTGGAACGGAATACATGCACCAGTGAACCTACAACTACACGATTTATATTTTAAAAATAATTAAATTCACTTAGCATTCAAAACTTGCGAATTTTGAAAAAAACAAATTTGCTGATTAAGTGCGGACAACCGTTTAACCGAAGTAAAACGGGGTTTTCCCCTTGCTATGGATGTCTGCCTAGTTCAGTTCAGCCACATTCCGCTACAGTTCGCCTTTATTATCAGTTCGAAATGGGGTGGCTCCATAATACCCGCAGTGTTCCATAATACCACCTTTTCCTCTACTACTAATGAATGCCCAGTGTTGCCCGGGAACTCAGGAGTGGGTTGAATTGTCCTTGTTATGTTCCCCGCAGGTTGGCAGAGAGTAACTATGCAAAATTTGAAGCAAATCAGTCAAAAGGTTAGACAGGGTTTGCGCGGATGAAGTCAGAAGAAAGAGTGAGGATCCGAGTTTTAAAATAGTGTATATTTTTTGGAGGATTAAAGAGAGTAACTACGCAAAATCTGTTCACACCGTTCAAAAGATTTGGGAGTTGGGAGGTAAAAGGATGAAATCAGAAAAAAAAACAGATCCAAGTTTTATGGTAGTCCACGTTTTCCAACGGATACCAGAGCGTAACCATGAGGAATTTGGTTCAGATCGGTCAAAGGGTTTGGGAGTTTATAGAGGAGATGAAATCAGCACGAAGTGGTGAAGTGTTTTCACATGGACGTATTTCGTGACATTGTGGTTTTCTTTTAATTCGATAAACATTACTCGCTCGTGTATATATCTGAAAAGTAACCTGAAAGATCTCAATTTATGTAGGCAGATTTCTGATAACATAAGAGTATTATTATAAAATACGAACGACCAAGACAATACAGAGTATACCCAACTACTTGAACTGCACGAATGAAAAGCGAAATCGAATAGATAAATTTAAAATAAGCCTACCAGGTAGAACGGATTGATCATGAACGGAGTAGAATGGACGGACCACGGAGACAAATGCCGTGGTTAAAATATCTTTCTCATGCACTTTCCTCTTTACTTTCCCGGCTCTGGATTGCCATACTTCCTCCTACTTCCCGATTGCTATACTTTCCCTCCGTAGAGGAGGGAAAGTATAGCAATCGGGAAGTAGGATGGCAAATGGGGTCAAAAATAACTCCCCAAGATTTTTACATTTTTGAACTACTCAGGAGACCTTCAAACGCTGAGAAATGCAAACAAATTCTCAGGGTTTTTCTGTATGTATGGTTATTTGTGTGTGTGTATATATAGTNTTTGTGAAATTATATAATTAATATAATAATAAATAAAATATTTATATTGTTTTATAATTTTTAGTTTCTTTCTTGGAGGAAAACCTTGGGTTGTGTGTCGTGATTTGGAATTGATAAAACTTATACAGATAAAGGAATTCAAAAATTTTATGAATAGAGATGTAAGTTTTTAAGTAATTTTTTGTAATTATAACCGTATTATTCTGACCTTTTATTATCTATTATTTTCAGGTAATACTTCCGGATGGAGGAGTTCCTCATAATTTGGTGCTTAAAACACTTGTACTTCAATGTGATGAGGATTGGAAAATTACCAGAAATATATTGAGCACAAGTTTCAGTACAGCTAAATTAAAGATGGTATCTATGCCTCTTTAATAAAACTGTAGATATATAGGATATTTATTGTTTCTTTATAAATATTTAGCATTACAAATACAAAAGTATCTTTGTTATTAAACGAATATATCAAAATTCTGTTTTTAGATGAGCACTCTTATGTCTAAGCCGATAAATATATTTATGGAGAAAATCGAAAAACAGAAAGAATCGCCGTTTAATATTGCTGAATTTTATAAAAAGTTAACTTTCGATATAACTTGTAGAACAGCTTTCGGAATTCAGACTAACGTACAAAATGACGAAACAAGTAAATTTGTGCAATCCGTCTATAATATCTTGCAGGTTGATTCAACAGATTTACTCTCCATATTATCAAGTAAGAATTTTTAAAATAGTTTTATGATGTTTTCATAAATAATTAACATAATGTGCTTAGTTTGCTTTCCCGAAATTGAACCGATTCCTACATACATCAGAAAGATTTTGGATGCAATAAAATATGCAATTAATTATCCCTGTGCTAAAATGGTTTTTGATACATGCAGTCAATTGGTTACTTTCCGAAAAACTTCTCATGTAAGATTTACAATTTATAAAATCACTAAATAATAAAAATATTTCTAACAGTTAAAAAATGTTTTATATTTAGTATCATCCACCAGATCTCTTGCAAATCATGATTGATGCTGAAAGCGAAGAGGATGGTGTCCTATCGAAGCTTTCAACAGATAGTATTGTTGCGAATGCTGTTGCATTTATGACAGCTGGGTTATTATATTTTTGTTTAAAATATTCAACTCAAAGTATATGACTTATTTCATGCTAAGTTGTATATTGAGTTTTATTGTTTTTGTTGTCTAGATATGACACTTCGAGTACTATGTTGGCATGGTGCACCCATTATTTGGTTAAATATCCTGAAGAACAAGAAAGAATTCGTCAGGAGATAAACGAAAACATCGAAAACAATGTAATTGGTATCATTTAAGTAAATTTAAATATGTTTGATATTTTGATAATTGAGTTGAGTGAACGAAGATCGTGTCTTTACATTTTATTTATATTTTTTGTCAATATATTTAAATAAACGCTGAAATAGTTTCATAGATTCCAACCAGATTTGGTGAGACATGACCAGGTCGATTAATGTCGTGTCCTTGTACGATGGTTTCCTTGAGGAAAATTGTGCTATAAACTAGTTTATATAGGATGAGCAGCAGCTCAGTTGTGTTTAAAAGCGTAAACAAATGTATTCACTTAATCTTTTGTTCGACATTTTTGAAATTTAAAAAAATTCTGCGTGATCGTCTATATAGAGCTGTTAAGCTAGAGTTTATACTCTAGCTTAACAGCTCTATATAGATTAATTTATACTGTATTTTCGTGAAGTTCGCTGGCTGGTAATATCAACAAGTTCAAAAGCTTCTTAACACTCAAAAGCTTTTTATTTCATACGAACTGAACTAAGTCATTATGAAGCGCAGTTTAAAAAAATTTTTGTTTCGAAAATCAGATATTATTCCTTCTGTTTTGAAATACACTAAATGAACCCTAGATTTAAGCATAAATCACGTTCAGCTCAATTTGCAGATATTGTAAACAACAGACGCTCATGCATATACTGCATATTATTTATAAATATATAAAATATTATTAATAAAAATATATTATCATACTTTGAAAGTAAGATAAAACACTGGCTCCGGACCACGTTGCAGAATTAGCGTAAGGCAAAATAAATGAATAAATAAAGAGAGAGTGCGTATAACCAGTTTGAAGAAATTGGCCTGAAAAATTGCCAAATCTAACCGCGACGAATTAATGATTTAAATTTTTTAAATATGTAAATGAAAAGTGAGTTTAAGATCGAAGATTATACTCAAATCAGATTTCCTCAACGTAAGACGATAGTTGTCTATAAAGGATTTGAAGCAGGAGTTTCGGGCAAAGGAAGAAAAGCATTACCTGTGTTACGCGCGTTAAGAGAAAGGTATAGTTCATTCAGAAACAAAACCAAGTTATTTAACTCTTCTTGCAGAGCTATAGATAGAATCGTTATTAACTAATCTAATGCCATTGGCATAAGTAATGACCTTTAATGTATACAGTATAGTAGTTAGATAAAGTAACTCAGTTCAACGCTATTCCATTATAGTATGTTGTAATAATTAGATAAATGAAAGCTTAACTAAGCAGATAAATGTATAATTATCACACATAATATACATTGTAAATGTTATCAAAGTTTTAATATTGGAAAACTTTCTATTTATTTTTGTTTTGTAAGTTTTGATGTTAACACTTTTATGAATAGTTTTTGCATTAAACATATAAATTTGTTATAAAACTAATTTATGAGTATAAAGGAATCTACGTTATTAAAAATATATTTTTAACAGAAAATTGAATATGCTGATTTATCCAAATTGAAATACCTGAGTCAAGTAATATCGGAAACGTTACGTATTCGTCCTCTTTCATCGTTGTAAATATTTGGCACTTAAAACTATATTTTAGTTTTTAATCGAAATTTTTAAACTAATCTAAAATTTCACTCAGGTTAATAAGTAGAAAATGTTCGAACGATTTCCATTATAAGAATATAACTATTCCAAAAGGAGTTACAGTTATGATTCCAGTACCGAACTTGCATAAAGACTGTAATTATTGGATAAAACCGGAAAATTTCAACCCTGACAGGTTTGATATTAAATCATTTTACCTGTGATATTAATTAATTTATTTTTATTAATATAGGTTATTTGAAATTAGTATTTAATGCCATATTTTGGTGACTAATTTTTAGATTTTCATCTAAGAATGCAGGACTAATAGATCAATCGATATACCAACCTTTCGGATCCGGTTCAAGAGGCTGCATAGGAATGAGAATGGGTCAAACAGTTATGAAATTAACTTTGGCTAATCTCATAAAGAGCTACAAATTAGAAGCTTGTGGAAGTTTGGTAAATAGAATCTTAATTTAAATAATTTATTTAATTTAATGTATAAAAGTATTAATATAGTTTTTTAATTATACAAATTAATAATTTGTTATAGGAAGTTGAAGAAGACTTCTCGCTTTTCATACCCCGTCCAAAAAATGGAATTATTGTAAAGGCAACTGCAATAACTTCGTAAACCTTTTGATAAATGAATTTTAATGAATTTTTTCTTTTATTTTATTTGGGTTTATAATGAAAACATTCATCTTATATATGTTAAATTTATTCTCAAAATTTGGATATACGCAGTAGCGGGCTAAGATGTGTATACCAGAAAATGTTTAACAGCTGTTCGAAATAGCACAGTTATGATTGTGATTTGTAATAATACAAGGTCTGTTCAAAAAGTATCGGACTTTTATTTTTTCCGCGTAAACCAATGATGCTCGGTAGGCCTCTTTCGATGGAGTTTTGGAGGGGACAATCATGCACAGCCCTGAATTTTTTCCCGCCTGCAGGAAGCGTCAGTCGTTGGCAGTCAGCCTATGAGTGAGGTCATGTAGCGAGCTCTCGTCGGATTCCACTAACAAGTAAGTTGGAAAATGACTGAACGACGTGAGCAGCGATATTACATCAAATTTTGCCAAAAACCTTGGCGATACCCGAGCGTAAACCATTCGCAAGATTCAGTAGGCTTTCGGGGACGATCCTCGAGGCCAAAAAAAGCGCGGCAGGCCCGCAGCAATATTAAGGTCATGTTGACTGTTTTTTCGACTCTCGTGGGGTGATGTATCGTGAGTACGCACCACGAGGCCGAACTATCGCAAAGGAGTACTACCAGGATGTCCTTCGTCGTCTTTTCGATGCTGTGCGACGCAAACAACAGGATCTGTGGTCGATCAAAACTTGGCAGCTCCATCGTGATAACGCATCCGCCCATTCTGCGCATCTGATTCGGGCTTTCGTCGCCAAACACAACACTCCTGTGGTTCGTCACGCTCCGTACTCTC